ATATGTGGCTGGGGAGATGACGCAAGGTGGAGGGTTTCAGATGCCTGGAGCATTGAGACGAGTTCTGGGAGACTTGACACCAATGCGGGCTGGAAATGCTGTACCTGGGCAGGACCTGATCTGATGTTCAAGGGATGTATTTGCAAGTGTGGTTGGGAAGGGTTTAAATTAAAATGGCAGGGCAATGCGAACCTATACAGAGAAATAAGGACTAAAACAAAAGACATAATGGGAAAAAAAGTGATAATCATGGCTTAGAATTGAGCAGGGTCATTGTGAACGGGCTAAGAATGCTAAAACACAAGACTTAATACCTTGTGCCTTAATGTATAGAATAATGCAATAAAATGTATGAATTAGTCACAGATATTGATCTAAATGGACATGACCAGTAGGCTGCGCACAGTCAGGAAGGAGCGATCACATCCGAAATGAGATACAGCCTGACTGAGTATATAGTTGGGGAACTTGGAGGCAGTGTGCAAATTTGGTGCAGAGGGGGGAAAGTGCTTTTTTGTTTTTTCGGCTCATGACTTGGAAGGTCTTTTACAGGATAAATTGAAGCCTAGGATTGGGGCACTAGCACAAAAGAAAGAGTGACATCATAGGAAAACCGTAGGTTCATCGGTTGGTAATAGCTGGTAATTTGACCATTATAGGTTACTTTCAGTTTGAAGGTAAATAGGGGAAATATATACAGGTTACAAACTAAAAGACCAATTGGAAATCTTTAAAAATCAACTGAAGAACTAAGTAACTAAAATAGTGATGCAGTGCCAGGCTATGTGTTATACCTGCATTATGTGGGAGGGTGTGGACCTCATTATGGTTCGTAGTGACCACATGTGTAGCAAGTGTTGATTGCTTGAGGAACTCCAGTGCAGATCTGATGAGCTGGAGTCTGAGCTTTGAACACTGCATCACATCAGGGAGGAGGAGAGTTACCTGGATGCTCTGTTTCAGGAGCAGTCACAGCCCTCAGATTAACTACATCAAATTTGGTCAGTAGTCAGGGAAAAGAGGGTGTGACTATGAGTGAGGCAAGTAGAGGGAATGTGCAGAGGGTAGTGCTGAAGGAGATTTAGCCTGTGACTTTGTCTAACACGTTTGACCTTTTTACTTCCTGTATGGATGAGAAAGGGAGGATGAACAAACTGACCATAGTACTATTGTACAGGGAGCCATTCAAGAGGAGAGAAAAAAAAAGAGAAATGTAGTTGTAATCAGGGATAGTATAGTTAGGGGAATAGACACTGTTCTGTGGCCAGGATCCAGGGACCTGAAGGTTGTGTTGCCTGCCAGGTTCAGGATATCTCAGCTGGGCTGCAAAGAGGCTTGGAGTGGGAGGGGAATGATCCAGTTGGCATGGTCCACATAGGTACCAATGTTAATTGGTAGAAAGAGGGAATATGAGCACCTGGGGGACAAATTAAAACTCATAACCAAAAAGATAATAATCTCCAGATTACTACATGAGCCACAAGCTAACTGGCACAGGTGCAACAAGATTAAAGAGGTAAACGTGTGGCTCAAAGATTGGTGTAGGAGAAATGGGTTCAAATTTATGGAACATTAGCACCAGTCCTGGGGAATGAGGGAACTGTTCAGATGGGACAGGCTCCACCTGAATCATGCTGGGAACAGAGTCTTGGTGAATCACATAACTATGGCTTTAAACTAAATAGCAATGGG